CACACACACACACACACACACACACACACACACACACAAGGTCTTTGATAGGCTTTCTGTGTTCTAGTAAAAATAGTCGGCAGCCATTGTCTAAAGCCAAAAATAAGGCCTGCTGTTGCCAACAACGTCCGTTATGGATAGTCTCTCAAAGGCAGACACTTGTGTTTATCTGACAAGTGGAACCAGTTCCTGCCTGGGACAGGAATAATCTCCCATTGGCGCAGACGCAGACCTCGAAGACCTTCTGCCTCGTTCCTGTGGGCGAGTAGGATCCGTGAGGCAGCCTAGGTAGTTTGATTTTCGCAGCATCTAACTTAATCTGAAGAGTAAATAGGAAGGAAAGAGTTAGAGGCTGTCATTTATCCTCGTGAAATTCCGAAGCAGCGGATGAGCGTTCAATTCAAGCTTAAATCGAATGAGCACCTACTATGTGTTGAGAATTGTAGGCACTGGGAATTTAGAGATGAATAAGACAGATAATGTCTCTCCCCTCACAGAAGGTTATGTTCTAGCAAGACAACGGTGTGCTGGCAATGCTATCTATGTTAGCATTTTACAAAAGTGGATCACGTAGCATGTGAATAGAGTTCTAGAGTGAAATCAGTTTGGAAATGCTGGTTTAACAATTTTCTTTACTGTGGGACTTCTTGGGCCCTAAACATGCCTGTGTGCATGCTAAGTCTTCAAAAGTATTCAGCAATGTTTGGACTTAACACATTGAAGACAGGGCATTTAAATGTATAGACACAAATCTGGGTCACCAGTCCACAATGTGTTAAGTGGCTGATACGCTAGAACCGATTCTTTCAGAGTCTGGATTCTGATACCTGTAAACTGCATACGTGATGTAGTCACTATTTCTAAATGTGTGTGGTTTGGAGTTTGTGGCTATTTGAAGAGACAGTTTTGATAACTGAATGATCTATCAGACTAGCTCTTTTAAAACAAATATAGCAAACGCCAAACCAATCAAAAGGCAGCCTTGGCGTACAAAGGCAGCTGTAGGCTGGTCACCTCTAAGTAGATATGAAAGGTGAAACAGGGTTTTCCTTTAGAAATAAGAGCACATTTTTCCTCCTTTTAAAATTCGCAAATAGCAAACTTCGCTTATGAACACAATGAAGGTATTTTCGAAACTTTGCGGTGGAATCCTATTTGCTTTGGGGACTTGGCTTACATTGCCCACAAAAACACAAGCGGCTCTTCTGTGCATCAGAGTGCGATTGTGTTGGGGTGAGAGAATCAATATTTGCCATCTGTCATCGTCTTGGTGCCTAGTCTTACGCTGTTGAAGGTTTGGCTTGTTCTGATTTGGGACGGCTGTTGATTCTGACTTTCCATTCTCAGCGAAAGTAGACACATACAGCATAAACTTTAGAAATGACTACAAGTAAACGAAGCTCATCTTTTACTAGATGTGTGTGACATGCAGCTTAATTATGCCAGCTACCTGAATCTTATTCTAAGGTGACAAGAGACAGAATTCGGAAATAGCATTCATTTTTATACCCACATGCATAATTCTGTACGTGGAATACATGCTATTATCTCAGCATCTTACAAATGATGAGTAATAACTTTTATGGATTGTGGGTTTGGCTGATTGTCATCTTGTTCAATGTATTTGTTCCAGAAATGAAACCTTCAGAGTGGCACCTTTTGTGGGTACAGTGTAGGACCAGCGTCAGCGGCAAAGGGAGTAACAGCGCAGTTTGGGGAAAGGTGGGCCAGTTGGAGCTGTATCTCTTTGGACTCATGTCCTTCTCGCCCCCTACCTCTCCGTCTTTGGACTCCAGTCTCAGCTCTGTTCTGCAGGTGGCTTCCAAATTGCCGGCTTCTGCATTTATCTCTACTCCTTTTGGGGCCTCCATCACCAGAGATCGGGTTGGGGACTCCAACCTGAAATATACATAAGACTAAGATTAAAGATCCCACTTCAGTTTTTTTTTTTTTTTTTTTTTTTGAAACTTTAAGAGGAAATCTGATGCTCAGACCATTGAAACGGCATTTCAGTATTTGATCAGGAGAATTTTCTAGCTTTACAAACCAGGTCAAGTTGAGGGAGAACATATCCAGGCTTTATCTTCACTACATACTGTAAAGGTTGTATGGGAGGAGTTTGAGGAGCCTGGCTTCGTTTTATCTTACATCAGTCAATTATTGTGCTATTGGTATAATTAACCAAATTCTCACAAAAATCTCCTTTAGTTTTAGAGTAAGGCAGTCCCAGGTCTAAACTGAGCTTCCTGAAACTGGTAGGTTTCTTCTACTTCGTCCTACTTTCTGTGTCTTCCACGGGGGTGGAGTTAGACATGCCTGGACTCAAGCCATGGGCTGCCATGATGCGACCTGGGGCAAGCTTTCTTCCCTCCTCTCTACTTTGCTTTCCTTTCCAAAATTTCTCAAAGCCTCAGTTTCCTCATCTATAAAGTGCTTCGGAGGGTGCCTGGCACATTGGAAATGCATAATGTGTACTAACTATTACAATGACCTCTGTTACTGTTGTTACTTTTCTAGCAAATCATGAAGAAATTTTGGGCCTTACTCAAATAGGCTTTGTCAAAAGAAGAATTGGAACAGATGAGTGGTTGCTGGGGGTTAGAGAGGGGAAGTGATTTGACTCAAAGGGACAGCGTGAGGAGAGGATGTTTTTCGGTGATCGAACTGTTCTGTATCTTGATTGAAGTGGTGGTACATGTCTCTGTGTCTGTGAACACGCACATAACTCTTCCCCTGGGAGAGTGAATTTTATTGTATCTAAATTAAAAAACGAAATGAAGAGGAGACTCAGCCACAGACGCTGAACCTAATACTCAGAGGCTAATACTCCTTAGAAAAATTTTTGCCTATCTCATTTAAGGTGAAAAATATTACCCATCCCCTGAATAGTCCAGGTTTTAACATTCTTGCCAAGTAGAAATGAACGATGATCCTCCTCTGTTAGAGAAAGTGTCCCAGCTTAGGAAGCAAGGACCTCCGCATGGCTTTCAAACTGCTCTGATTCAGACCAATGTCTCGTGTTTTATTTCTGTGTTCCTAACTTTCAGACACTTTGAACACATGAAGAAAACATCACTCTCTCTGCCAAACGCTGACTCCTTGTTCTGCTTCCTCCGCTCCCTCTGGGTCAGGAAAACCCTCTCGGGCTTCACTAAGCGGCAGGAAGGACCAGTGACCAGTGGGACGCCCCCAATGAGATCCCAAACCACATCCCATGTCCCACAGGTGCCAGGAGAGGGCTCTTCCCGCTTCCCAGGCCTGGGCTCCTGAGGTTTGCTTCCAGGCAGCAGCTTTCTCCACTGATTTTGTGTTTCCCCTATAATGACTCAACCCCAGTCAGAAAGAGAAACCACAGGTCTCTAGAACTTGTGAAAAGATTGTCTTGAGCTCCGATCTAACCCATTCTTTCCTTTCTGACCTCGCCCTTTATTTGTGGCAAAAATCCCCCAGCCCGACCTTCTCCTCTTCACAAGACCTTCCTCAAGTTGGTGCTGATGGGAGGTGTGGTTCCCGCTGGAATTATGGTTTATCTCATTTGCATGTAGTTTTTCTCACTTGTTCTCAGTACAAGGAGGGTGTCTTGTTACCAGAGCAACAGGAAGTGACATCTGTGCAGGACCTAAATCCAACTCTGGAGTTCCTTCCTGTGCTCTTGACCCTCTTTCACTTTTTTCCCCCAGTTTTATTGAGATTAAATATAATGTTATATGTCAATTATAAGTGTATAACAATGATTTGATACATGAATATATTGTGAAATGATTATCATAAGATTAGTTAACATCCATCATTCCTTAAAAATGATTTGTAATGGTAGCAGGAAAAAAAAAACCAGTGTCAATGATTACTATTATTTTATTTATTTATTTTTTTGCTGTTTGTGGGTTTTTTTTAAAAAATTAGTTTCAGGTGTGCAAAACAAGGCACTAGTTAGGAGGGGGGGGGATGGGGGAGAAGGGGAGGGGATTAGAAAGGACAAATTGGTAACCACAATATTGCCACGGGATACAAAAGACAGTTTGGGGAATATAATCAATAATGTTGTAAAGATTTTGTAGGGTGTCAGATGGGCACTTATCTTATTAGGTAGAGCACTTCATGGATGGTGGAGATGCCAGACCACTGCACTGTACACCTGAAGCTGAATAATATTGAATGTCATTTATAATTTAATATATGTAATATATAGTCACGGGATGTGGAGTACAGCATAGGGAATAGAGTCAATGGAATTGTAACAGCTATATAGGATGTCAGAGGGGTAGTAGGTTTGTGAGAAGTGTAAATGTCTGACCCCCCCTTTCACTTTCGAAATATGAAGATGGTTTTGTGTCATTTTCTTTGTTTATCTCCTGTGAGGTCTGGCTGACATCACAGTTTATGCTACCTTTTCTAACATCTTCTGTTTTCACTAACATTGATACCTGTCCCCTTATGGCATAAGTTTCCTTCCTGGTATTCTGTGCTCGACTCCAGCTTTGTTCACACTCTTCTCTGTGGGACTGCTGTCACCCACTTTCCCCAGGTGAGAGTCCTCGGGCCATATTCTCTCTTTCCCCGTCTCCCTTCTCCCCTCCCTCATTTGATCCGTTAACTCACTTTTCACTCACAACTTCTCAATACTCAGCATAATAATTCGTCTCCATCCTGGGCTGTTTGGAGTGCCTCACAAGTTTTGTTTCTAATTTTTCCTTTTTCCAGTGTACTTCACACACAAATCTGTCTCCCTGAAGTCAGTTTTGAATATGTCGCTTCTCTTATCAAAACCTTCAGAAGTTCCCTAAAAAAAGATCTGAGCTCCTGAGCTTAGTCAGCCATTTAACACTTGGTGTGAACTACTGTTAGTGTTACTTCTTGCCACAGACATCAGCTATGTTTTACTGAGCACGGACTAGGTGATGGACCCTGTGCAAAGTGCTTTGTATGTGTTATCTCATTTAATCCTCACAAAAATCCTATGAATTTGCTATTCCTTTGGTGCTAATTATATAAACAAGGACACTAAGTGACTTGCTCAGTGTACGTGTAGTGAAAGGGCACAGCCCAGGTTCAAATTCAAGTTTAGTGGACCCTGCAGCCAGTGTGTTGTCCACTATGCCACATCACTTCCAGAAGAGCTGGACTTGTTTCTGTCCATCATCTTTTCATGCTGCTCTACGTACAGTAATTACATGCCACCTCTTTCTTCATGGACTTAGCCCTCGTGTTTCCAAACCCAGCCTCTGTATCTAAGGGTGAGGCGACAGTACTCTATATGGCTCGGTGATGCGTACTTCCCAGTATACAGCGTTTCTCGTAACTTATTTGAACAGCTGACATTGGTGATAGCAAGTTCAGGATACGATGAATGTGTTCATATTTGGTATGTAGCATTCAAAGTCATTACTCATACAAAAAAATAGTTGGTGGAAAGGAAGAGGTCGACACAGAAAGACGTGGGCTTTGAGAGCTTCATCAGATAGAGCGTTGGCGTTGCACACAGGCGTTGGAATTCACTTTACTCGTGCTCTCCCTCTATGGGCTCTGAGGTCAGCAGGAGGGCTCCAAGCCAGAGTGGGCTCAGAAATGTCTGCTACCTCCACCCCCCACCCCCTTCCTCCAGCCTTGGAAGCACCAGGGTGCTGGGCAAGGGAGCCCCTCTGTAACTGTCTCCTATGGAGAACGGCTACAATAAGGTAGAAATGATCATTTCCTAGAAGCAGAGACAAACAGGTCACTGGCTTTCTGTTTCATAGCCCATCTTAAGGTTCTCTGCAGTCAGGCAGAATTAAGAGTTTGTTCACCTGCTCGTCTTCCCTTTGTGAACAATGCTCCTGCAGGTCCCCCCAGACATGGAAGCCATGCCAGTGAATCTCTGACCACAGATGACCCAGCACAACACAACGGCTTAGATGACACTGAGCAAGGAAAATGGATGGAGGCTTCCTCCTGGGGGCGGGTACTGGAGGGTCCTGCCGGCTCTCGGAAATGAACATGCTTCCATTAGGAGAAAGCGCAGCCCTCCCTCCTCTGGGAGGACTGACGAGGCTCAGAAAGGAGGGATGACAAGGAAGGGGGTTCCACGGACTGGGCCATGTCCTCAAGGACAGTGATTCACAGATGTATCAAAATCCCCTGGAGAGCTTGTTAAAACATTTGCTGCACTCCAGCCCCAGAGTTTGATACAGGAGGAATTCTGGGGTGGTGCCTGAACACTTGCTCTGTGATGCTGAAGCTGCCAGTTTGGGGACCACACTTGGAAAATCACCGCTCTAAAGCAAAGGTCGTAATCTCAGGGGCACACAGAGGCTGGATAGGTGATGTAAAATGAATGACCCCTACGAAAGGTGGAAGGGATACGACAGTTTCTAGGCAATAATATCTGGCAAGTGATGGATGGAGATGCTCTCCACAGGGGCAGCTGCTGCTCTAATCTGGCCGACCACTGCCAGGGCGCCTGATTTAATAATTTAATTTTATTCTTAACCATTAAAGTTTTGTAACTGATGCAAAAAAAAAAGATTTGTAAAACCACAACAGTGGTATAAAGAATGACAATGCAAAGGACCTTGTACACCCACCATCCTTTCTAGGAAAAAAGAATTTTTTCTTACCTTTGTCATGCCCTCAGTTACTTTCTCAAGGATAACTACTATTAAGGATAACTACTATTAAGGATAAGTTATTAAGGATAACTTAATAACTATAAGTTATTAAGGATAACTACTATTAAGAATTCCGTGTTTACTCTTTTCTTTTCTCAATAATATTACGTTTGCCTCCTTCAACAATGTTGTTTACTATCATGTTTTTTAACTTGATGCACAGAATAATTCCACTTATGTATTCTTTAGTGACTTACTTTTTTTTTTTTTTTTTGCCTCAGCATTATATTCCTGAGATGCATCTGTGTATTCGATTTCCCTGGTGTCATCTTACATCGTGATTTATTTGTCCTTCTGTTGGACATTTGGGTGTGTTCCAGGTTTTTGTTTCTACAAATAATGCACATATGCACGTTCTTGTACATGGGTCCTGGTGCCCATTTGTAAATTCTCTTTGGGACACATATGTGAGGAGTGGAAGTGCTAGCTTCTAGGACATTCATATCTACAGCCTTATTAGATACTTTCCCACCAGTAGTGTATAGAGTTCTGATTATCTACTTTCTTGCTAGCATTTGATATTTGGTATGAAATGAGTGTGAAATGGAATGCTCTTGTCTCTTAAATTTGCATTTCCAAGATTAGTAATGGAGCGAAGCATCTTTTGCTTTGTTTGTAAACCATTTGAGATTCGTCTTCAGTGAAATGTCTTTTGTCTATTTTAATTGTTTTTGTTGTTGTTTTTTGTGTGAATCATAGTAGTACTTAATATATTCTGAAAGATAATTATTTAGCAGTTCTATGGAGTGACAATTTGCTTTTTGACTCTGTGGTTTGTCTTCTCGCTCTATGCTTAGCATCTCTGAATAAATGAAGTTTTACATTTTAATGTCCACAAACTTATCTTTTCCTCTAGGGTTTGTGCTTTCTGTGTCTTATTTGAGCAACCGTTCCCTACACTGAGGTCATAAAGTTCTTCTATATTGTTTTCAAAATTTTATGTTTTGCTTTTTCATTATGTCTCTGATTCACCAGGTATTAATTTCTGTGTATGGTTTGAAGTTGGGGTCAGAACAGAGGCAGAACAATGAGCTCAACATATATTTAGCTCTGTTACAAATGATATTGTCATACACCTCTGGGTCTTTTTGGGGGGCTTTCTAGCCTGTTTCATTATTCTATTTTTCTATCCCTGTGACAATAATTAATTATTTTAGCTTATTATAGTTTTAAAGTCCTTTGTGTTTCATAAGGCAAGTCCTCTTACTTTGTTCTTTAAGAATGTCCTAACTATTCTTGGTCTTCCACATACATTTCAGGATGAATTTAAGTGTTACATGGAAGCCCTTTTGGAATTTTGATTGGATTTATTTTTATTCCATGCTCGTATGTAAGTCCTTCAACTTTTGCAAAAAGAAAAACAGTTGTTTTGGATATTCTAGATTCTTCCTTTTCCCACATCTATCTTAAAAGCCTGTTGGGATTTTGATTCAGATTGTATTGTGGGAAACAATTGATATCTTAAAAATATTGAATCTTTAATGGATTTTCTTTTTAAGTCTATCAGTCCAAATTCACTACTCTTGATTTATATGCTATTGTTATGTATTTTGGTTCTGTATTCCTTAATCCAGCAAGATTGCTGCATATATAATCAATGGTAATTTACATATATCCATATATTTTCCACTTCATTTATTCCTCTGTCATCTTAAACATCCCTTTTTTTAACATCAAGGAAATCCTTGATATTTTCTTTTAGGGAGAGTTGTAGGGCAAATCCTCAGTTTTGTTTTCCTGGAATAAATCTTTAATTTGTTTTTCCTTCTGGGAGGGATTTGAACTGGATACACAACTGAGCTGATAGCTATTGTTGCTTAGGAAATAAAAAAAGAATTCAGCTGTCGGGCTGGCGGAGTGGCGCATTGGTTAAGAGCTGGCTTGGGACACCAGAGGGCCCCGGTTCAGATCCCACATATGAGGGCCAGTGACACTGCCCTCTACAGCTAAGATGCTGAACAACAGCTTGACCTGGAGCTGGGCTGCTGTGAGGCACCGGCGACGGCCAGTGGGTTGCCATGGGCTACCGTGTGTAGCCAGCAGCCAGCGTGAGCGGGCAGCAGCCGCTGTGACCAGCCGTCTAGAAGCTGGCGACTGATCTGCCTCGCCCGGGAAGAGCGCAATGATGGTGCCAACTTGGGCCAGTGAAGCAATGTCCTCCACAACTAGACTGAAGAACAAAAGGACAGCAACTTGTCTGTTCCCCTTCCCCCAATTCCCCAGTGCTGTTCCCATCCCCCAATTCCCCAAGAAAAATCTTAAAAAAAAAAAAAAGTCAGCTGTCAGTCTAACTTCAATTCTAGAACTTCTGTTTGGTTCTTTTCTCTCCTCTGCTTTTTATCTTTGATGTTTTGCAAGTGTCACTCTGATATGTCTAGATGTGGATTTGATTTTACTTACTCTACTTGATTTTTTTTTTTTGTCTCTAAATTTGTATTTTTGTGTCTTTCTTTCATCACTTCTGGGCAATACTCAGCTGATGTCTTTGAAAATTGTTTTGGCTTCCTTCTCTCTCTCCTCATTCTGAATGAAGCTTGGATTAGACATTCTCACTCTAGCATTCCTATTATTCTGTCTCCCTGCTGCCTGGATGATTCTTCAGATACATTTTCATGTTCACTTATTTGTATTTTTATGATGTCTTATCACGTCCATTGGGATTTTACTTTTTGAGATATTTTCAGTTCTAGAAATTCTGTTCAGCTCATTGTCTAATTTGTTAGTCATTTCTATATTTTTTTACTTTTTCAATTCATTCTTTGGTTTCTTTACTCATAGTAAACACATTTATATATTTCTCTGCTAATTCCCATAGCTGAAGCCTGCATGTACGGGTCTAAACTGGCGGCCATGTTTCCCTTCCTGTTCTCTTGCTCATGGTGTCTTGTTTCTGAGTATGTGATCCGTACTTCTTGACTGTGGGTTCATATTTGTTGGGTCTTTATCTGGAGAAATTATTTGAGACTTGCACGTAAGGTGATGTTTCTCTAGAGAGTTTGCATTTGTTTCCATCCATCACTGGTACCAACTTCAGCTTAAACTGTAACTAATCTCTTTGCTTGAGGTTTTGGGACCACCCAGGTAATAAGAATTCAGGCTACAAACCAGAGTGAGGGCCAGTTTGGAGTTACCAAGCTATGGAGAAATGATTTTCTTTCTGTGCTGAGGTTTAAGACATGTAATTTCCCTTGTAGTTCTCTGGGTGGAAGGGTCAGGGGTGGGGAAGACTAGGTCGGTTGAATTCTATTTCGTCCTTTTATTTAGGGTTTGGCACATTGGGGTCCCAGTTTCATCATGTGATCTCTTCATGAGACTGCCTGCTTCCCGTGGGCCCTGAGATTTCCTTTGTTCCCATGACCCACTCGGCTGAAAACTGAAAATGGATTTCATGTAGTTTAGCAAAATCTGTCAAGTTACAGCTGGCCTCCATGCTCAGATTCCTTTTCTGGGTCCCCATGATATTTTCGTTTTTGGATTCTCAATAATGCTAAATAATTTCCAGTTCATCAATGTACTTAAAATGTTTTAAAAATGTTTTTACCCAATAGTTGTAGTTATTTTCAGTGGAAACAACTGGTCGGGGTGCTTACACTACCATACCGCTCTACGAGAGGTCCACATTTCGTAGTTTTCAAAAAATGGATTTTGAAATAGTGAAATCAACTCATCTTTAAAAGTTGGCAACTTATTTATTATTATGCCAGCTTTCTGGCAGCCAGGTCTGGCTTAAGGGTTGCCAGTTTCCTAGAAAACTATCGAGAAGTTTATCAGGCATGGTGCAATTAGAGGAAGAAAGCCTCTGTGAAGGAGATAAACACACGAGAAGAACTTAACCTTATGCAGTGTGGGAGCTGGGTACACACAGTGTGTATAAGGCTGTTGTCTTTGTGTCTGATGCTGGAGCCTGAAGTAGGCAGGACCGGCAGGCAGGAAGGGAGGATGAATGTGAAGCGGGGACAGTGAAGATGAGCTGGAACCTGCCAGGATGAACTGGTCCCTGTAACAGTTTCTTACCACTTTTAGGTCTCTGGTTCAGTAGAGGCAAAGCTGCTGCCCTGAAACTAAGAATGCTTGCGGCCCAGGAGTTAGAAAAGCTGAAGAGGAGTCCATTGGGAGCCGGAGGGTCTAATGACGGGGCTGCCCTACACTAAAAGGTGAGCCTGCAGGTGATCTCCAGCCGTGCCCAGGGCCCTGCACCCACCTTCCGGTGCAAAGGGAATATGGCTGAGGTTTCACGCCCACCTTCCAGTCCTCGTGCAGCACACTAACTCAGAGAAGGGGATTCCAGGACACGCAGTGCCAGCTTGGCTAAGTTGATACAATACAAATCCACCCATACTGTGTCATCCTGCTTTAAATGGCTGATTTGGCTTAAATACACTGTGTTCAGGGGAATCAATTTCAACTCCCAATAAAGAAGCTGGTTGAAATAAGCACCCACAAAAAGTAAGAAGAAACATAGGTTTTTCTAATTCTATAGGATCTACTTTTAAGTCAAGCAAGGGTTACTTTGAAAGTCTCGCTCCTCTATATGTAAGTAGCTATTTAAATTTCATGAATGAAGCTACCGAGTGTTTAGAGAACTGTCTTGAAATCCTGAATTGAAAAATCTCAGAATATTCTAGGGTTCTGCTCTAAAGATTTAAGAAATGGGTTGGAATCTGTCATTTGTCATTTGAAGGCCATTTCTTTCAGAAAAGCAGTGATATTCTATCCTCTAGAGCAGCGGTTCTCAACCTATGGGTCGCGACCCCTTTGGGGGTTGAACGACCCTTTCACAAGGGTCGCCTAAGACCATTGGAAAACACATATTTTCGATGGTCTTAGGAACCGAGACACCGCTCCTCTATCCATCTCCAGGCGGGTCTGCCCACATGCAGATATACTCACATACAAGTACCCAGCATGATGACAATCGCGCCAACCCCATCACATACACCCCGTACAAATACAGGTGTATGTGACAGAGTTGGCGCCATAAAGTACTTATGCAGACCAGTCACACATGTGTAGAGAGCAGCTATTGTGTTGAAAGCAGCAGTATTGGAGGTAAAACGACACTTCATGAATTATAAATATTTCACAATATGTAATTACATATTGTTTTTGTGATTAATCACTATGCTTTAATTATGTTCAATTTGTCACAATGAAAATACATCCTGCATATCAGATATTTACATTACGATTCATAACAGTAGCAAAATTACAGTTATAGAGTAGCCACAAAAATAATTTTATGGTTGGGGGTCACCACAATATGAGGAACTGTATTAAGGGGTCGTGGCATTAGGAAGGTTGAGACCCACTGCTCCAGAGCAAACCTTCCATTTTGAAGTTTGCTTTAATGAAAGGCAAGCCAGCCCATCACAAAACACTCTTTTGCATCAACCTTTTTTTTTTTTTACCCAGGGTAGAGCTTGTTGGCTTATTTAATACACATTTATTATAATAGACCTAAGGGGACAGAGAAGTGGCCTGTGTCCCAGGCTGGTAGAGTCATTAGGAAGTGGCTCATTTATTTGGACTACATTTACTGAATTCCTATTATATGCAAAATGCGGGGGTTACAGTTGTAAACAATATAATCCGTGCCCTAGTGAGTTTATGTGCCATTGAGGATGAGATACATTAAGTAACTATCTGTTTATGGTCATGAGGAATCCTTGATGGAGAAGTACCGGGGATTATAAGAATTTATATAACTGGGGAGTGGCTTGTGGGAAGAGGTGGGGTCTGGGAAGGATTATGCTGACATCTCAAGGATGGGAAGGAGTGTTCCGAGTAGCATGTGTGCAAACTTTCAGGAGAAAAATAGTTTTATGGCTTAAAAAAATTTGAAAGAAGGTTGATAGAGAATGTGGTATTAATAAGAAGAGTTAAGAGATAAGTTAGGCATAGGCTTGCAGAATATGGTGAGAAAATAAAAGATTTTAAATGGATGGAGTGGGAGTGTAGGGACATAAAAAGATAATGGACAACATGATCTGATGTCCATGTTTGAAAGGCTACTGTGATGGTTAATTTTACGTGTCAACTTGACCGAGCCACAGGGTGCCCAGACATTTGGTCAAGACATTGGTGTGTGTCTGTGAGGTTGTTTCTGGATGAGATTAACATTTGAATCAGTGGACCCAGTACAGTAGATTGCCTCCCTAATGTGAGTGGGCCTCATCCCATCAACTGAAGACCTGACTAGAACAAATGGCTGGGTAAGAGGGAACTTTGCCTGCCTGGCTACTGGAGCAGGGACACCGATCTTCTGCCCTCAGAGTGCAAGTTGTACCATCAGCTCTCCTGGATCTCCAACTTGCTGATGACAGATCTTAGGACATCTTAGCCACCATAATCAGGTAACCAATTCCTTATGGTAAATATCTTTACATATACGTGTATACTATATTAGTCAGTGTTCTCCGCATACACACCTACATATGTAGGTGTGTATGTGTGTGTGTAATATCCATACGTGTATGATATATACATATATCTGGCTACACAGTGGAGAGTGGATAAGAAAGGGCAAGAGGATTGCAAGGGGGAGAACTAGGAGTCTGTGGTTATCCAGGTCGGAGAAGATGGTGACTTGGATTTGGGGATGGAATGAGTCAAGAATGATTTCCAGTGTTGTGGGTTTTATAACTGGTATAGTGTGTGGGTCAGCCACGGAGATAGGAAGAGTGTAAGCAGAGAAAATTGTGTGTTGAGTTTTAAATATGTTGCACTGGAGGTGTTTAAACATCAAGTGGAAATGTGCATATGCAGGGCTGGAGACAGAAAAGCGGGCGGTATGTTTGATTGTAGTTGGCCGCATATTCCTGTATTTTTGAGTTAACAGAAGTATGTATATGCAGCCTTAAAAAAAAATCTTTGGAAACATAATCAGAGTCTGTGGAGTGTCAGCTGACTCTTGGGCTGATGAGACTTGGAAGGCACGCTTCGGGAACTGGTTGTCTTAGCCAAGTCACTCTGTAGGTGGCATCCTACCAGGGTGAACATTTACTCTGAAATGCTCTCATTCTATAGCTGGACACAAAGCAAAGTCCTGACCGGAGCTCCAAAGTGCCCAGACTCTGTTTGTTGTCCTCTGAGGTGGTTTCACAGCTCCTGTGTGGCTCAAGGACTATGACAAGGAGAAACCTGGTCACATCTCCTAGGTGTATGAAGCCCTGGGGTGATGTTTCCTCCATGGAGCCATCATTTCCTGGTACGTTTCTGTGTTCCTTTGAAACTTCTCACTTCTCCCCCTTTGCTCAAATTCCATTTCAAGTACCCGTGAAGCAGGGGGCAGCAACAGTATCCTTTTCCTCCCCAGGTATACTCAGCAGTGTCATGAATCCAAAACAAGCAAAAAACCCCCACAAATCCACAAAACTTAAAATGCTATCACAAGGTCTGTTTTTAAAACTCAGAGAATAATTTATTTGCTGTTGGCATTATCAGTTTGTTCCCTCTGTTTCAAGCTCATTTTTTGTTGAAATTGTTTTTGTTCAAACAGTGATTACTTATCCAGATTTCGCGTTTTCATTTCCTTCATCATAAGAATCTACATTAATCACTTCTAAACCTAGACAGGCTTTTAGATCATATTTTTCTCCCATCCGCAGAGAATGGAGACAATGGCTTTTATTACTTTGGGGAACGACCTTCAAAACCTCATAAAAACCAAGTAATACATGTGGTAATTGAAAAAGCAGAGAGTTAGCCCCAGCCTCGCCTAGAAAAGGGCAGATTCACACTAACATCAACACCTAGGATTTCTCTGTGCGTTCTACATTTGAGGGGGGAAAAACTAAATCAGACAAAGTTATGATTGCAAGAGAAAGAAGTTAGAAAAAAACTGGTGGGAAGGTTTGTAAAGTTGGTGGTTCTTTGGTCAATCGAAGTAGCTGCTTTTAGGGAATTTTTGGGTTGGCTCAGGCCCATGGCCAGGAAATTTCAATTCAGTTAGAATCACACGGGGAGCTTTCAAAGCTTGGGTCACATGCCACTGAAATTAAATTAGAATCCCAGGGCATCTAAATTTAAAGAAAATGATCTATATGGTGATGGTTGAAAATCATTGACTTAGACTGACTTAGTATATCTGTGTGTGTGTTGAAGATATACCAGCTTTAACATGGAACCCTACCATCTGACTGATGGGAATAGAATGGTTAGGATATTGCTTCTGGGAGAAACCCAATTCTGACCTCAAAAGGTAAGTTAATGTACTTGACAAAATGAAGACCCACAGCCTACTCTGTGGTTCATTGCACTACCTGGGCCATTTGCATTTTTGAGTTGCTGATCTAATGCTCCTGTGTTCATAAAACCTTAGCACATCAGTGGAACTCAAAGACTGTGTATAGTTCTCAAACAATTTCTTCGTTGATCTGAAAGTTCATTAGCTCTCACTGAATCTTCATGAGTTCAAAGTTGAGTTCCTGTTTCAAGAAAAGTACCATATTTTCGTCACGCTGTTTGATAAATGCTAATGAACCACCCGCCATTTTGAAGAACCTGATTTCAGTGTAATGGGTCACTTACAGTAATGGTGACATTTTGATGCTAGACAACTTTCAGAGTACAGTATTGGCCACCCAGCATGTTAACACACTGTGGCCCATGTAGTTTTCAGCTTGAAAATGCATAGGGCTCCCTCTGACCACATTTCCCTGCAACCTTTGTGACTCATCCTGTATTTGTGAGCAAGGCCTTCACAAACTCTGATTCAAAGGAACCTCAGAGTCCTCACACAGAAGCCCAGTGTCAAGTTCCAGTGACAGATTTAGATTCCATCGGTGAATTTCTATTATATGCCCTGCCTGGTGGGTGATTTTCATGTAGATTGTCCCATCTGGTATTCACCGCCAGCCTCATTTGTGAGAACAGGCAGTGGAGGCTCGGGGAGGTTAAATGTCGTGGTCTAAGAGACCATGTGTCTAGAGAGTTACAGATCAAACCCAGGCCTCCTGATTCTTAGCGAATGTTTTATAATATTCTAGGGTTCTGATTGTTGTAAAGCAGTTCTACACATTCCTTGGGTGGAAATCTCATCCTGTCACCTGCTATGTCATCTGGAGTTTCCATAGATTAGTGTTCGAAATTTATTAAAGACAAGCATTTGTTTTTAACAAGCAATTTGGTTATTCTGAGGTTTACTTTATCCAGCCTAAAGAGGATCTTCAACAAATCCTTCGCTGAGGGACTTGAGGGACCCTCCTGCATCCAGCCTGCAACAAATGGTAGGTCCACCTGTCCTGTCCTGTAACCTTCCTCTTAGTACGTGTTTCCTTCTTATGCTTCAAGTCTTGCTTAAATGCCACCTCTTTAGAGAGACCTTCCAGTGATATTCTTTTATGCCACCGAACACAATTTATAATTGTCTACTTGTTTTAATCTTTTTCTTCCTCTAGAATAAACTCTGCAAGAGCAGTCGCTCCACTAGCTTCATGCCCAGCATCAAGGATGCTGCCTGGTATTCAATAAATATGTGTTGAGTCGATGTCCCTCTTAGATTCTGCTACCTGGCATTAATTACAGTGTTTCTAGGACCAAAAAACACTCTTGCCTTTCCTCCCTTTCTTGGTACGAGTCCGGACCATTTGTTACTGTAGTCTAATTACATTAGAATTGGCAGTCACTTGAGTGTTATTGCATACTAAGTTTAGATTAAAAAAATCATAAATCCCTCAGTTTGTGGCCCATTTTGCTAGTAACTACCTCATTCTGTATTTTTGCTGGTAGGGCCGTAGTTTCCCCTGTCTTGAAAATTTTAATATGAATTTCGTGGGAGGGAATGTAGGGTAGTGGTTTAAAGCTTGAGCTTCAGGGTCAGGATTTTGAGTCCAAGCACTTCCACCTGCTGGGTGTTTGACCTGGGAAAAGTGGCTAAGAGTGTTTGAGGCTCAGCTGTTTCTCATATTCAATAGGGATAACAATATCTCCCTTTCAGGAGGTTTAAGAAGCTGGGATGTGGAAATGTAGGTGAAGCCTTAGTCCAGTCCATAGGGTGTGGTGGTAAGTGATATAGCTTTTATTACTGTCTTCAGCCAGAAAAAATTCTGTCCCATCCATTCCCCTCTAGTTTCCTTAACATTTCATCATCCACAAGAGGCATCCTGGTTTACCTAGCTGCCCCATTGACAGACTTTGCAAAGAGCTTGAATGTCAACAGTAATTTTAATCTGAAACATTCTAAGGCAAGTGGCCAAAGAAGCCCATTCTTCCTCCACACACTGTTTTTGACTGTTATAGGATTTACCAAACTGTCACTGGCTTTGAGAGGGGAATATCTTGACCGATTTCTCTGTAGAGTGTGTCAGTTACTTATGCCAGAGGTAAAAACTGATCACAAATATTGTGCCATCGTAGCCTAACACGGGCTTCCGAATGGTGATTAGAAGCTTGGACTTTTTTTTTGTTGCAAATTGTGTTTCTCAGGGCCTGAGGTTTCCAAGGTGACTGCATATATAAGCGCCGTTTCCAGAGGAACGCTCTGTAGCCCTGCCTGTGCCCCACCGTCTCCAAACCATTACATTCTTTACTCTGAGAGATTTCTTTTCTCAAGTGAGAGAGGAACTAAATAATTGATATGAATATCAAATAAATTAAGTACATTTCCATACTCCTAGGTCTCATTAATGAGAGTAATAACTCTCAAGTCTTCCCAATAAGATCTAATGCTCCCAGAATGTTTAATGACCCATGCAACTCACCCGACTCCACATGTTAACAGAGCTAGGCTGTCGATTATTTTAATAAAGAATGAAAATTAAGAAATTCACAGACATTAGATTTTTGTTTTAAATGAAATCACTAGCTTTGATCTGGATTGGACGTTAGTTCAGCCCCACTGGACAGTGTATTACAGCAGAAGGAGCGCTAGACTAGGAGTGAGGGTACATTCTGATTACCAGGTTTGCCACTAAGTGGCCGTGGGGGACCCGCTTTCTTTTATACAGTGAGGGTTGGAGTAGCAGTTGAAAGGGTACCTGTCCCAGCCCTAAAATCTACTTCTTTACAGATTCTGGAAGATTAGCAGCACGTGAATCTATCGCATGCCATATACTTACAATGCAAGCGAGCACCTCTCCATCCTCAGTGCTGACCCTCAGGAGACATCCGAGAGCATACGCTTCACCTGCTTATGTTACACAGGAATTCCTGTCTGGGGAACTAATAGGTGAGCCGCATAGCTCTAAGGAGGCTGAAAAGCGGAAATTCCTATCTCATATGTGAATAATTAGACTTCAGGTTTAATTTTGTAAAAGCTATTTAATAAAAAATTGCACACTCACTATGCAGTAGGTGCAGTGCTAGTAAAACAATTCTGGGGAGAAGTCATTATACTATTATTAATGTTATTGTGCCCCACTTCACAAACGGGGAAAGTAAGGCTTGGGGATGTTAAGCCTAAGGCCACACACCTAGGTGGAAGTAGGTGTTCCAACTACAGCTCTATCACCAGAACCCTCAATTTTAAATGCTACCCTAAACTGCCTCTATTTACTGAAAATGAGCAGATGTTAGAATAATAAGACTAACTATTAGGGCTCTAGGGGACTAGTAAATTGTAATCACAATCAAATAAAATGTAGGGAGTACCTGATTTGTGTTGAAAGACATTTTGGATAATGTGACTATCATTGAAAATGAAAGTAAACACTTTCTATTTGATGTTAATTGAAAATTTCTATTTTTGGTCCAGCCATGAAGTAAATCATTGGGTTACTGTCTAGTCTACGTACTTTGCAATTTTTCACACCCCATTTCAGGATCCTGTCTTAGTTATAAGGATCACATAAGAAGCCTGAAGTTGTATTTGAAAGCAATATGGAGAGAGGCCCATGGCTCTGTCTCGGGCTCAGGGTGGTTAGCTGTGGGATTGCATGTAAGCTGGTGGCTGAAGAAAGCAAAGGGCATGTTTTGAGAGTGATTTGTGAATGTTTAATACTAATGATCTCTATGTACTGGACGCCTCCGTACTTTGGGTTTCACATGGTCCAGTATGTGGCAGAGTCCCTGCTGAACAGGTGAAGTTCACTAAGGTGGATGATTTTCCCAAGACTACGCAGTCACTGACTCACAGAGGTGGGACACAGGTCCCCCTAAATGGCCCATGTTTGTTGTACTCAGCTTAAAAAGTTATAAAGCTTAGTGTTCTGCAGCACCAAATATCCCTATTTGATGCAAAACTAGTGGTTTACTTTATCATTGGCTAAATTATTTGACTTCTACCTTAAAATCTTTAGGCAAAATATTCTCCAAGAAGACGTATCAAGTTGGTCCACTGGCTTTATGCATCCTAATTCGAGAGGCAGCGCTGGAATAAAGCAGAGTAAGTACACACACAGTCTCAGGCCTGACATGCCTCTCAGGAGCTGTGCGATCGTAAGATGCTCATCTATAAAATAAAGGTTATGATTATTCTAATGCTCCCTCATCAAGCTCTCTTTATACAGTGCTTAGCACAGGCCTGGACTATTCTATCATCACACACGTAGGAGGAGAAAAGCTCTCACACATGGCTTATTAGAGACGTAGAAAACATTATTTACCTCACGTCTCTTCTGCTGTTTCAATTGTTGGTTCCCTGTTGAAAGTATGGTTTGGTCAGTCTGCAGACGGCCCTTAGATGCTCCTCATCTCAGTTTGTTGAAGAACTTACTAGAATGGGTTTACTGTGCTTAGCAGCTCACAAAGTCGCCAAACTCTGAAAATAACTGTTGATCTGTTTTTACTTGGGATCCTGTAGTTGGGTGGGTGGGGTGGGGTATCTTCATTTAGTCGTGCATAGGGTGGCTATGGAGAATACGGCTCATTCCTCCGTTCTTCATGTGCTTGTAAAATGCTTGTACCTACCACCCCTACTTCTTACAATGCAATTTAAATAAAACCTCATCCTAGAACTCACGATGTCTCCTTAAAAGATCAGAGTAGGAAGATAGAGATGGTAATGATAATAACTATTTATAATATTCATTGAGTGCTGCCTGGATTTCAATAATTTGCTTAGAGCCGTGATGTGTTTTTTCCCATTTAATGCTTGCTGACACCCAAAGAGGTATGTTCTAGCATCATCTCCTTTTCAGCCTACGTGAGACCTCATAGCTCAGTCTCGCTGTCTCGAAGGCCTTTGCACCAGCACGCTGTTAGAAACACTTCTGTTCATACATGTGGGAGGTTTTCATGTGACGGATATAGAATAAACCCTGGTCTTGTAGGAAGGCAAATCATGAGAACAGTGAGGGCATGTGGCCCTCAGGAAAAAGTCCTGTTCTCTAAGGAACGATCATAATATAATAATGTGCTGTTCTCGACTCAGAGGCACAACAAGGTAAGTAAAAACGTCTCAGAAAAATCCAAGAATGATATATAGTATATACTATATTTTGATGTGAAGCAAATTCTTTACACGGTGCTCTCTGCTCAAACAATAGTGTTTATCAAGGTTATTTATTACAAGGCATTAAAATAAATCTTTTTTTTCAATTACTTCCTAATGAAATGTACCAATTACCTTTTGAATGGTGACATATGGCTGTAATCTATTCCAGTGGGGATAAATCTTGCTTATACAAGGTTTTAAGGGCTCCCTCCTGAGCTACCTTAATTATTGTTGTAAACAAAGAAGATTATTATCCCATTTATCGATAAAACCTGAATTTTACTATACTATATACTTCTCTGGGTTAGACGGCATGAATCATCAGGTAATTTCCAACAGTTATGGTGCAAGTTTGTTGTAAAAAGGATGGTTCTGCATGCCAGCTGAATTTGGAGCACGTTTATTAATGTGGTTGAATTCTGGGGTAACCTGGGAAGCAGACACGTAGCAGTGGTGCATGGTATAGTTAAGAAATACCCTTAAGCAACTGGGGAGCTATCTGTTGCTTAACAAATGAATAGCGACCACAGGAAAATTGGCAAGCACTGTTTAAAAGAGCCTCACCTGGGAGCTGTTGATGAAATACTACTAGGCATCCACCAAGCCTGGAAAGTTAGCGGTGCTACCTCTTGCAATAACTGTCCTCAATGGGCTATTATTTTAGTAAGGAATTGGGAGGGGAGACAGGAAGAAAGTACCATTATAATAGTTTCTGAGCACAGGAAAAATTGATTGACCTTGGTGTTGAGACCACTTCCTTCCCTATTCAATGCCACCATGGGTTTCAGAAAAGACTCTGGGATTTGCCATGAAGTAGTCTTCCTTGTTCCTGTATATCTTTTGGTCTTTAACAACATTGCCAAGCTTTGGTTTACCCATCTGCTATAGGATGATAATACTAGTACTGACCTCATAGGATTTGGGGAGGATTAAATGAGATATTGAACGTAAGACAGTACCTGGCACATTTTGCTAGTTTAAAGATGTTAGCTATTTTACCATTGATAGAGTCTAACAATGTACTATTTGCGAGATAAAGAGAAAACTTTGACCTGTCCTTATCTCTTCAAACTACCTTTTGAATTTGAAAGTGAACTTCTGTAAAAGAAGAGAGGTGATTTCTTAAGGGAACTACTTTGATTACATCCCTGTTTGACACGGTGGTAGGTAATTTATACATATAATCTTATTTAGTTCATGACATATTTGTATTGTCATTTTATATGTGAAGAAACAGAGAAAAAAGGAACCTTATGGAACACGCAGGTAAGCAGCAGAGATAAGATTCAAATCTAAATCTAACTTCACAGTTCGTATTCTTTCCAGTATCTACCTAGAAAGACCAATATTCTGACATTCTCTTGTCAACTTCTGCTGAAAATTTTATTCACAATGAGTAGACCAGAAAATCGTATTGGTTTATCTATGTTATCACGTCTGCCTTTACCTGTATTCATCAAATATTGAACATTGAATCTCTCGTCTGCAGCTATTTATTGAGGCCTGGCTATGTGCTAAGTGCTGAGAACCTAATAAAGTACTGTTTAAGAGATTCAGTTACTATCCCTGTTTTGCATATGAGGCCCAGAGAAAGGTTAGGTAACTTGCCCATGTTCACACAGCTAGGTCATAGCAAAACTGGGATTTGAAAGCAAGCACTCTGGTACTCACTATACTGCCTCTCCTGAAGAAGATAAGCCTGCAAACTGACAAGTGAAATATAGCAGAAAGCACTTCTGATTATAAAAGATATAGAACTCCGTGGAGGACCGGGGGTGGTGGGTTAAGAGTGTGAATTCATAAAGTCTCCCAAGGAGACAGTAACAGAGGATGGGAAGGTGACTTCTCCAGGCAGAGTCAGCACAAGGAGCTCGTTATGCATGGAGGGGGGTAGATAGGCTGTAGAGGTGAGAACAGGATAAAAAACAGTGTGGAATCTGTCCTCTGAAAGGTGTGAAACAGGCTAACATGGTAGAACTGTTTAGAGACACCATCTAGCTTCAGGACAGGCAAGATAGAATGCAGTTAGGGGGCTCGTGGGGAGGGAAAGGCATCCAGGTGTGCCTTTCTGTTGCCGCTTACTAAGCTTGACAAGGTGCAGCCATGGGAGTCAGGAAGAGCGAAGGGGCTGGTTGCAGGTACAGCCTCAAGATGCTTGTGGCACTCGCAGGAAAGATGAACGTGGGCAGGTGCATTAGTGTGAGGCTTACCACCCTCCTAATTACTGTGATAGGCAGCAAGGTGTCTAAAAAGGAATTAAGGATGCCGATATGTCTAAATATATTTTAGGGATTTTCAGAATTTTTAAGCATAGCCATCTTCAACATGGATTACATGAAGATAATACTTAGATGGAAAACAAGATCAAATAGTGACATAAATACAAGTGAGACATGTAAAATTCTTGGGAGATTACTACATTTTGAAAAGAAAATCTTAAGATCCAGTCCTGGATTTTATTAGGTGCCAGGAAAGTGACAGAAAATATAGCAGACAGAAAGCATAAAGTTAATAATTAACCAAGGAGAAATGTACAGATTAATTACCATCAAGATAATTAAGAGTTGACTGTAAAGCAGAACACTTTTTTTTCCTTCAAAGATTGGAAGATCATTAATTATATTGTGTTGCATACGTGTTAATCAATTAGTCAGGCCTTTCTCAGAAATTCTGCTCCAACAACCTCGGCAGAGTGGGCTATGTGAAGACATTTGAAATGAAAGCACATGACTCCAAATCTATGAGACACAGAAAAAGGAGTTCTAAGAGGGAAATTTAGAGCAATGCAGGCCTACGTTAACAAACAAGAAAAATCTCAAATAAACAATGTAATGTTACAATTAAAGGAACTAGAAAAAGAAAAAACAAACCCCCAAATGAGTAAAGGAAGGAAATAATAAGGTCAGAGTGGAAATAAATGAAATAGTCTATAAAAACAGTAGAAATGATCAAACCAAGAGCCGTTTCTTTTGAAGAGGTAAACAAAATTGATAAACCTTTAGCAAGACTCAAGACAAAAAGAGAGGGCCCAAATAAAATCCGAAATGAAAGAGAAGTGACAACTGACACCACAGAAATACAAACGATTATAAGAAAATGCTACAAACAATTATATGCCAACAAATCAGACAACCTGGAATAAGTAGATACATCCCTCAAAACATACTCGTACACTCTTCCAAGACTGAATCAGGAACACATTAGGTCCAAATACATGTCTTAGGATTCTCTCTGATACTCCTGTTTCTTTTCAATACATTTCCATAACCACCTGGTTGAGGTACACTTGTTTATAACCCACTGATTCTATGCGAAGACAACTTTAATCAGATGCCCAAGTTGTTCTAAGACAATCTGTTAACGAATCCTGGAAGCTCAGAGCAGGGAGTTTTTAGCCACTGATCGCTTGTAAATAGAATCTAGATCATGTTACATACACACTCACCTGGCTTAAAACATTTCAGTGGGTCCTCACTGCTGGTGGCTAAAAATGGAAATTCTTAACATGGCCCACAAATCCCCAAATTGTCTGGATTCTTCCTGCCTCTCAAGTTTCATCTCTGACCTTGACCTTCCCACTGTCTGCCTTCCCAGTCTCACACAGTCCATGCTCCTCCCTCACACGCTATGCTCACGCTCCCCTGCCAGGGACCTTCTCCCCTATGGCCTTTAGAGCCCCACTCAGCATCCCGTCCTCAGGAGAGGTTTCCCTAATCACCTGGACATGCTCTTGTGGCATCCTGAATCTTCCCTCGGAGCGTTTTTGTAACTATTAGAATTTTACAAATATTTGTGAGATTATGTGTTTTCCCCTTAGTAAAGTATTAGGTGCAAAAAGAGAGCATTTTTTACCTGATTGTTTTGTCCACTGCTATATCCCATTGGCAGGATGGTGCTAGCAACTGGTAGGTCCACAATCGATATTTGTTGAATAAGTACAGGGATGCTCA